TAAGCTTTCGTGGACTACAGACCACTTCTTCGGATGCATAATTTGTTAGTCTCTAAGGTGCCACAAGTACTCCTGTTTTTCTTTTGAGTGTTGTCCCAATGCTGCAAAGAGGGTGTTTCCAAAAGAAGGTGCTTGCTTCTAACCCCGGAGGCGGTCGGTATGTCTGCTTGTCTTTAATGAGCCCACTTGACACGTTTTATTGTCCTTGGGTCTGGCTCCCAGCCCCTCTCCAACAGTTGAGGCTGTCTGGAGGTGCTGCCTTCCATGCCTTGCTCATCCACACCTCATTCATTCAACAAGGCAATTGATTAATGGTGGTGGGGGGGGGAGAGCTCTTGTTCTACTGCTAGCAAAAAGAAATTTTTCTTCTATCTTATTCTATCCTTAGGGGCTATAATATTATACCAAGGGCAATGCAAAGTTTCTAAATGAGGCTTTGATACAAAGTCCCATGAAAACAGAGGTCACACGTGGGTAGACCCACCACAAGGTTATATGAAGAGGCACAATGTAAAGGCATATGAAAATTATCAGAGATTTATCTACACTCCCCGGCAGGTACTTCCTGGCGGCCCCCAACATCCTGCGCGTGGGGAATGAGGAGAACGTGGTGCTCCAGGCCCAGGCCCAGGACGGGAGCCTCTCGCAGGACATCCGCGTGCAGATCCGGCTCTTCGACTTCCCGAAGAGAGGGACGATGCTGCAAGAAAAAGTCGTCTGGCTGAGCCTGGCCAACGGCTTCCTGGCCATGACCACGGTGCAGGTGGGGGACAGGAGAGGCTGGAGGGGGGGTCACGGAGTGTGGGGGAGTCAGGGCCCTGCACCTCCCACTTCCTGCAATTCACCAGGACTCTCAGCCATCCAGTAAGACAGAGGTTTATTAGACGACAGGAACACGGTCTAAAACAGAGCTTGTAGGTCCAGTGAACGGGACCCCTCAGCCGGGTCCCTCTTCAGGGGTGGGGAGCCCAGACCCCGGTGCTGGGCCTCCCTCCGTTTCCCCAGCCAGCTCGAAACTGAAACTCCCTCCAGCCCCTCCTCTGGCCTTTGTCCCTTTCCCGGGCCAGGAGGCCACCTGATCTCTTTGTTCTCCAACACCTTCAGTTGGCACTTGCCGGGGAGGGGCCCAGGCCATCAGTTGCCAGGAGACAGGGTGTCGGCCATTCTCTGTGCAGACACCATCACACCTGCCCCCCAGGGCTCTGCAACAATCACACCCCCTGGTCCCCCCACCTAGATACTTCAGAGCTGCATAGGGGAAACTGAGACACCCACACAGTATTCAGAGAAAACCTTAAGAACAGTCCCACTTTGTCACGGGGGCCATCACCTCTAGCCACGACATGTCCTGTTGTAGCCCCAGCAACTCGCTGAGGGGAGACCAGCAAGGGAACGGGGGGGGGTGGCCATGGGGAGCGGGGGGGGGCAGTAGGGAGCGCTCTCCCCTGGCATTCAGTGCTGACCCCACTGCCCCAGCCTGGCACTAGGGGCTACTGTGCTGCAGGGAATGGGGTGTGGGCTCACTGGGGGACGCTGTGATGTGGGGAGTGGGGTGGGGGATCAGTGGGGGGCGCTGTGCTGCAGGGAACAGGGTGGGGGATCAGCGGGGGCGCTGTGCTGCAGGGGTAGGCAACCTATGGCACGCGTGCCAAAGGCGGCACGCAAGCTGATTTTCAGTGGCACTCACACTGCTCGGGTCCTGCCCACCGGTCCGGGGG